GGCTGGGGCAGTGCGAAGCCTCATGCTGCTGTGTCTCTGCGCTGCTCCAGCATCAGGTGAGAGAGGTGGCACGATCTGACCCTCACGCCCCCCACGCCACGCCACCAGCTCGGCCCCGTGGGTGAGCGAGACTGAGTGATGCTGGCATCAGTCCCAGGCAAGGCCAAAGCTTGGGACAGCCAGAGCAAGGGGCAAGGGGGCATCAGAGGGAAGAGGGGAGCGGCAGGAGAGCACAGGGCCAGGCACGCCCAGCGACGTGCCCCCCGTTTCCCTGCAGCCTGCGGGATCCAGGCCAGCCCATCCCCCTGGAGATCAGTGCAGGAGTTTGTGGCCACGGACCAGTTCCCGTGGGTGGTGGCACTGCAGGACACGCAGCGCAACCTCCTGGCCTTCGGCTCCATCCTGAACGAGCACTGGATCCTCAGCGCCGCATCCAGCCTGCGGAGCAGGTCTGTGCCCTGCGAGGGGCCCTGCGTCGCCCTGGGCAAGGCTTGGGAATCAGCAGGGAATCCCACCACCTCCCAGCGCTCCGGAGGGTCTTGTCGCTGCCCAGCAGCTGGGCGAGCATCCTTCAGTCAGACCGGGGGGCAGGCAGAGTTTGCCCCAGGCTTTTTCTTGCACCCAGCCCCCTCCGTCCACCCCCCGCAGGCAGCAGGTGCTGGCCTTGGTTGGGCTGAGCGCCATGAAGAGGCGATGGGAGGACCAGCCCCAGTATTCGATCAGCTCTGTCATCCCCCATGAGGACTTTGACGAGGCGACGCTCTACAACAACGTCGCTCTGCTCAGGACAGCCGCCCCGCTGGAGTTCAGCAGCATCGTTCAGCCCATCTGCTTCCCCTACGGGAGCCCCTCTGCCTCGGACCTCGTGAACTGCTGGGTCTCGGGCTGGATCCATCCCACCGCAGGTAACCCCCCAGCTCCGGCGGCAAAGAGCTCCCTCCAGCAGGGCGGAGAGCCGCCTTCCTGCTCCCTCCTGCCAACAGCCCCAGTGGGAGGAAGGGGAACAGGGCTTGTCCTGAGAGGAAGAAGCACCCACTGGTCACCCATCCCCGTTTTGTGGAGGCCAGGGGCTGCCCAGAGCCACAGGCTCACGGTGGTCCCTCAGCCAGGCAGGGGAAAGTGCTGCAGCGACTTCCTGAGGATGCTCTCCGTGGTGGACGTGGATCCCTGCCCGCTGAAAAGGATCACCGCAACTGCATGCTGCAGCCACAGGGACGCCGACAAAGTGGCAGGCTGTTTGGTAAGGGACACAGAGCACCAACCCAGACCGGGCACACATTTAGCCGAACCACCTCCTCCCCATTCTGCTCGTCTCCAACTTCAGGCTGGGAGTGCAGCCAAAACACTTGTTGGGCTTCTCCTGATCAGTCCTTCCAGGAAAAGATCCCTTTCCGCGCAGCTTGCACATAGCAGGCGTGGGAGACTGTGAACGTGTGACACCCGTCTCTGCATGAGCTGCGGGGTGACTGTCTCCCTGCAGGCCTGCGGGCGCTGCTCCTGCTCCCTGGACCTCTCCAGCTGCCGGGGCCTCCAAGGGCCTTTGATGTGGCCGGGGTCAAAGATGCTCAGGAGGCAAAACCGAGAGGCGTTCCTTGTGGTACATACCGAAGGATCAGGCGTGGGGCTGGGCTGATGGGGGCGTGGGCAGCCACGGGGAGCGATGCCGGTCACTTCATCTGGGGCACACGGGGACATCATCAGCCCAAAGGCAGCCAGCCCCCTGAGCCAGCGGTGCTTTGCTGCCAGCGGTGATAAAGGCCCGAAGTGCTGTGATCTGCCCTCCTCTCACCCCCGTGACGTCCACAGCCACTGAGAGCAATGGCGGGAGGGATACTGCTGAGACACAACCCTGCCTTTTTTGTCTCTCAAAAGGGTGATGCCGGCAACCCCGTCATGTGCCAGATTAGAGGGACTGAGAAATGGGTCCTGAAAGGCATTCTCAGTGAGGGCGGCATGAGATGCTACGGACCGTTCCTGTATACCGCAGTGTCCTACTACAGTGACTGGATCTTGGCCACCACTGAGAGGACAGGACCTCCCGCATTCCCCCTGCTAGTCAGGGCACGAGCTGATCTGCAGGCTCCACCCAGAGACTGGGAAGAGGCTTCCAGACCAGCAGTGAGGATATTTCAGGAAGTTGGTTTCAACCCCAAGAAGGGAAAGACAGACCTGGACTCATCGGAGGCTGGGCCACCTGAAACGACTTATAACTCCTGCAGCGGGAAGACATTTCCCATCTCCAAGGGACACTTACACTTGCCCCAGGCGCTTGGGAAGGGGGTAGCTGCTCCCTTCTTGCTGTTTTGTTTCTTTAGGTAAATGAAGTATCCTTCTGCGATCAGAAAGCCTGCTTGGTTCATGCATGCCACGTTGAAATGATTTGCCCTATATGCTCGCACTGCTCTGCTCTCTTCTATTGGTGGTGCACGCTCGGAGATGTTGAACTCCCACGTCTCCCAGGGAATCCCCCCTGGCTCCTCCTGCATTAAGTGATCACCAGGGCTTGCCCAGAGAGAAAGGACAGTTCCTGTGAACATGTCAGATTTGATCACCAGAGGGTAACTGCTTGTGGTGATGGAGGGAGGGGGGAGCACCCAGAGCAGAGCTGGCTGACCTAGCAGGGCCTGCGCAGGGGCCAGGCAGCAGAGCCTGGTGGAAGCCAGCACATGCTGGGACAGACCAAAGAGATGGCAACGGAGCCATGGGTTTCTTTATCATTTCATGCAGAAGTGGTTTCATCTCACTGCAGCTTGCAGGGTGCTACGTTTACCCACTTCACAGCAAACTTCCCCACTGGGTTGCCTCCTTCTGCAGCTTTCACTGCCCGCCTTGCAGCATCAGACAAGCCTAGTGCTGGTTACCAGACATCTTGACCTGGTTCCATGCTCTGCGGTATCTTTGCAAGGACATCTGCAAGAGGAGAAAGGAGAAGGCCTTAGTATGTTCAGGCAGCAGTGATACGCTGTGGAGAAAGCTGCAAGGCTGGAATCTAGCCTGGCCTGAGCTGCTGTATCCCCCGCTGCTCCCACCTGAGATCGAGGCTCGCAGTGGCATGCTGGGGAGAGCTCCTGCAGGTCTACACCACCTTTGGTTTCTCCCCTGAATGCCACAGGAAGCCTGGAGACCCCACACAACAGCACTGTATAGAAACCTACAGCCCCTTGCATGGCAGCAGGGGTATTGGACATGCCCTGCCACAGAGGGGCCGGCAAAGAAAACAGGTTTATAGCCTCACTCTTATCCCAGGGGCAACTACAGGTTCCTTCTTTAGCCCCTTGAGCCCTCGCTGCTCTCCAGCTCCCAGAGGCTGGCAGGACTCTGGGCACTGCTGCATAGACAGCATGCAAGCCAGAGCCTGGGTCTCCCGGTCAAGGGGAGCAGCTGAGTGAGAAGGGATCTGCTTGTGCAAAGACAGGCCTGCAGGCAGGCTGCCCACCAGCTCTGGGATAGCCACAGCCGGACCCCTATTTCTGAACTCACAGCACTGACGCTGATGGGTCAAGCCCAAATCCACCCAGTTCTGACCTCTGAGAGAGGCTGGACCACGTAAGTCCTGTCCATTGTGGACTGGGGCGCTGGTGGGCTAAGTGCTAGACAGGCTCAAGCCCAGAGTCTTCCCCGTCCCAGCCACAGGTAAGACCATCTCCACTCGAGGACAAGCAGGGTGTCAAGGTACAGGACACCACTATCCGTCCCATCCAACCCCGCCACTTCTCTCCCCACACTGCTGTGCACACAGACATCCTGCACGGGGCAGGGATACAGACATGTCCTGCTACCTCCAGGCTTCGACTATGCTCCTCTGTGTTCTCTCTCCATCTCCTCCCAGGCTGCAGGAGTTGGGGCAGGAGGAGAGTCAAAGATATTCCTGCAACTTTGCCATGAACTCATGTTTGGATCTTGGCTAGCCTTTCCTTATCAGGGAAGAGTCAAGATACAAGTGAGTAAGAAATGTTTGAGCTCATCAAAGAGGACTACAAACACTGGGGAGCCATCAAGGGCGCTGGAAAAGGCCGGTGCAGGTTACATATGCAGAGCCGGAAGCGTATGGGGCTGCCATACGTCCCCTTCTCTTTACAGGCACAGCGGGTTTCAGTGTAGCAACAGCCCGACGGTGCTTCCTGTCAAATTACAAGCTGTGTCCTTGCCTTGGCTTCCCCTCTGAGCTCAGTCATTAAAATTCAGCCTCTGTCCTCGGGTAGGGAGCGATCGCTGCTCCGTAAACAGGAAGAGCCTCCGGCTCTGCCAGGTACCGGTGAAACCGCCGCAAGAGAACTCTCGCACGGCTTCCCAGCGGGTCAGGAGCGAGCGCTCCGGTCCCCAGGGTGGCTGCAGGTAGGCAGGCACAGACGCAGCTCCACCAGGACCCAGCACCCGGCTGGCACACGTCCAGGCTGCTGCGCACCCAGCCCGGTCTCGCTCACCTCGGCAACTGCCACCTTCCTCTCCCAAGCCTTGAGGCTGTTTTCGAGGTCAGTAACAGCCATCTTCTTCTGCACGTAACCCAGCACAGGGGGGACGCCGTAGTCTGAAAGCTGCTTCCGCAGCTGCCGATTCACACTCTCAGCTTCAGCTCGTTGCTGCCGGAGGAATAGGGACAGAGGGCAAGGAGATCCCAGGGAAATGTCCCTCTGCCAGCTGGTGGCCAGTCCTCCAGGGAAGCAGGCAGGCAGGATAAATTAAACCCCCAGCACTGTGGGGGAGCCGTGGGATGCATCCACCAGTGCCTCGATCCCTGCCAGGCAGCACTGCTAGGGAGCCCCTTGAACCCGCTTCCCAAAGTTGTGGTGTCCCCGCCAGTGTGGGGGGACATACCCCAGACTGGTATGACAGCAGTGCCACTTCTCCCTGGGGAGGACACTGCTGATGAAAAGTTCAAGGAAACAGAATTTCAGGAAGCCAGTGGCAGGTCCCTGTGGAGCCAGGGCCAAAATCCACAACATGGCCTGTTCTGCAAACCGGCCCATGCTCACCGGCAGGAGCCCCGCGTCTTGCTCAGACCCAGAAAGGCACACAGGTATCCAGCTCATTGCTGGGCCTTGAATGGGCAGCGGTATCCAACATACCACAAAAAGTACCTCAAAAGAGTCCTCCCAAGTGGTCTCAGGGCCTCCCAAATCGCTCTCTTACCTCCTCCACCAGAGCAGCTTCTCTTTCAACTTTCTCCAGCAGCTCCTTCCTCTGGGAGATGTCTTTCATCAGAGACGTGGACGTTTCCATGGCGTTCTGCAGCTTCCTCTGGAACATGAGAGCAGGACAGCATCAGCGGGCGCAGTGGCAGCTCCCAGCCACCTGCAAAGCCACCCCTCTACTCCTCCAGCTTGGTCTCAGCTGACGGTGCCGGAGCTCTGCTCCCAAGGGAGCTCTGCCGCACCGATCATCCCCTGCAGAAGGCAGCATCATGCCCTGGTCACGCAGCTACTGCTTCTGTATGTCCTCTGTGTCACACTGCAGCACAGCCCACGGCACAGCAGCCGGGGTTTAGGACTGACCCAGACAGAATGGCTGATCGGAGAGAAGCAAATACACCCAGCTGAGCAGCACTTTTCACTGATAAGAGCAGACGGTGACGGCTGCAGCTCATGACATCTTCTCAAATGTCACAGGTTAGGTAAAAAATGTATTTTCCTGTGCAAGACAGCACCAAAGCTCTTTCCTACTGGAATTTTCCCCTGCGGTGTAAAATAACCATGCTGCAAAGCATGAACCTCATCGTCAGGCTGCAGCCAAACATGAATGAGGGCATCACCGCTCTTGGTGTGTCAGGCAAACCTCCCAACTGAACTGCTAAGTCAGTGGGAAGGCAGAGAGGTGCTTGGCATCCTCTGACTGAGAAAGGGAAGGATGCAAGAGCTCGTGTGTGACCCTCGGAAACAGAAGAAAGGCAAAATGGAGGTGCTGGGAGGTTCACTTACTTTATAGAAGTTGAGGACTTGGACAGTCTTCCCCGAGGTCAGTTTTAGCTGCAGCAGCTCCTGGTTCTTCTCATCAATCTTCTCCTGGTACTGGGCATTTCTAACCTGCAGCTGCTGCAAACGGACCTCACGGAGTGTCTCTCCCATCTGCTCCTTCTGCAAACCCCAAGGAAACAGAGCTGTAGGTTGCTGACCAAAGCTGCATCCCAAGTAAGAGAACTTTGCTCTGTGGGGAAAGCAGACCTAAAGAACAGGGTCTTCAGCCTGGCTGCAAACCTGGGGCTCGGGGAGAAATGTGAGACACAGCACGCCACTGAGCCTGTGCTCTGTGTCCTAGCTTAGAGGGTCCCAGCAGCGCAGACGTCCCCTCTGGCGAGGCTCCTGCCATGCCAGCAGCAGCCAGTCCCCAGGGAACTGCTCTGATCCACCATACATCTTTTCCAGGGCACAAAGGGCACAAAGAGATCTGCCAGCTTCCACTCTGTGAGACTTCTGGTCTCATCCCATGCACGCAGACATGTGCCAGGTCTGAACGTGGGCAGATGACAATGCCCTTTGACAGAGGCAGCAAGGCCAGGAGCAAAGGAGGAAGGGGAGGAGGAGGCGGAGGGCCATGCATCTCTACACAGAGCAGGCCCTGCATCTGCACTGGGCTGTACTCCTTTCGTTCTTCAAGGGGCCATCTAGTCCCTGCTTCTCCTCAACTGCTGCACGCACCTGCCTGAGCTGCTGCTGCAGCTTCTTCTTGTAACCCTTGAGCAAATAATTTTTTAAGCGCAACTTCTCTCTCAGCAGATCCTGAAGAAAGACAGCAGATTATAGTGGCATGGCAGAGCCTGGGAGGAGAAAGAGCACCCCGACCCCACTCCTTACGGTGTGGTTCCCGTTCATCTCATCCACACTGCAGCCTTCACTGCTGGCTTAGAAAGGAGCCCAGTGAGAAACGCTGCTTAGCATCACCCTGCCCCAAACATGGGGGCATGAACGTGCACTTTCCCAGGCTCCGCTAAAAGCCCTGCATCATCTGTGCTCACAGCTGCGCTGCAGCTCAGCAGCCTGATGAGCACCTGGGCTAGTCACCAACTGACAAGCGTGACAAGGGCTGTCCAAAGAGACTTGCTAAGATAGCCTGAAAATGTGATGTATGCCACACAGGAGTATGGGAACTAGGATTTTCCCTAACCAACGTACTTGTCAGATGACAGACCAGCCTCAAAATTTGCCATGATGCACTGACCCTCTGGCGGTTCTTCTCCTCCATGTATCTCAGCAGCTTCTCAGAAGCGATGATACTCCCTTTCTTGCTGGAGATGGTGCTGATGATGTCTTTCTCAAAGTCACTGATGGCTTTCTTAACATCAGTCCACCAAACATCCGCTTCTTCTATGACTGCCTGTAGAAATAAAGTCATGTGACAGTCAAGAGGTGCTAACTTCCCTTATTCAAACAGGTTTGGGAACAGAGAACCGGAAAGGACCAGGCATGCTCTCTGCTGGAGTTACTAGCACTTCTCCTGTGGCAGCACCGAGTTTCGCGCTGTGCCGCTCGGGGCACATGGTGCAGGCTGACACAGCACTGCTACTTCACTGACTCAAAAAGAACAAGAAAAAACTCTCTCACGTGCCTGGGCTTCAACATCTGTCACTCCATCCTGACCTACAAACATTGCCAGCCTGACTAAGCCAACACAAGACAAAAAATTACCACCCTTTGTTTACTGCATATGCCCTGTGGCCACACGAGAGGGACGGGCTGCCTGCTTCACCTCTCCCGGCCACTGCAGGCAGCACCAGTGGTCTGAACCGAATGCAGAAGTCTCTCCTTCCCCAAAAGCTCCTGAGCATTTTGGCTAGGAGGAGGTCTTGGCAGCCAGCACAGGGCAGGCAGAGATGGTCATACAGCCATAAGGAGCCTGCAGCAGGAACACAGCCTCGGAGACTTGGAGCATGCTCTGAAGAAATCCCAGAGACAGCGGAAAGGCAGACCCCAGAGTGGACTGCATGGAGCCCAGCCAAATCAGGAAGCTTCTGGGAGCTGCTAGAATGAAAAATACGTCTGGCACAAAGGGCATACCTTCAAGAAGCTGACAAAAAGGAGATTTTTCTTTCGAGCGTTAACTTCTTCATCTCACACAGCAGATCTGAGCTTCTCTACCTAAAAATCTTCCCCTCGCCTGTATTATTATTAGTTCCTGCCATAATACGATCCATCTTTAGAGAGTGGGCACCTCTGATCTCTGTTGGCGTACTTGCCTTTGAGAAAGGGGTGAGGTGAGAGGTCAGTTCTGGCTCCCGCTCTCAACTCAAGACCACTCACAGCAATGCTCTGCTACAAACAGCCCTCACCAAGCAAGTCTGTCTCACTGCCTGAGGGATGGCACGTTGAAAGAGGTGTGAAAAGTAACAAGACTGCTTGACACCTTGGTGATCGTAAGGGTCCTGGAGAGCCATACCTCGAGGTTCTGCAAGGTCTGCTCCGAGTCCTCCTCCATCCTCTGAATCTCATCCTTCATCTCAGTCAGCTCCCGCTCAGCCAGCTCACATTTCTGCTCCACTGTCAGGCCTACAAAATAGTCTGTCGCACCATGCAACTTGGATTTGTACCTGCCACGTGCCTGCAGCAACCAAGGAACAACGCAGATGCTGTTAGAAAGCCAGCACTGGCCAACTGTTGCTGCATTTTCCTGTATTCAGAAAGAAAGTCACCTCAACGGTCACGTTAGCAGGATTCCAGCTTACAGCAAGGACAAGGAGGCCTCTCCAGAGCAGAAGTTACTCAGGGCCACACCTGGGCTGACCCCATCTGTCCTCTCATCCACCCACAAAACCCTCCTATGCAAGCACTTCCAGTTCAATTCAACAGGCAAATTCAGGGCTAAGAGGTTAAAGCCAACGTGACAGCTTCATGTGGGCAGGTAAAACACCTCTTCGTAGCAAAGACGCTAATTGTTGTGTAGGACAGATGGGGTCTCCTACCACCGCCTGGGTCAGACGCCCTGACGAGCTGAGCTTACTGCAGCGTGGGCAGGCTGGAGTACGCTCTCGGAAGAAATGACACCACTCGGGAGCAATTCCCAGTGCCGTGGGGCACAGCGAGGCAGGCACTGCTTTGCAGAGGGCAAGTGCCCACCTGGCCAAAGGCAAAGTTTCTAAGGGCTCAGTCTGGGACTAACCAGAAAGTGGCTACTTTGGACTCGGGCAGGCACTGAAACCCAGCGCAGGACACTGGCTGAAAGGAGCTCCGCCGCAAAGGGCCTAGAGCTTCTGTTCACTCTGTCTCTGGTGAAAAGGTGACGTTCGGGCCAGGAGGTAAAAATCCGCTCCAAAAGGCTGTTCACAGCTCCAGTAAGAAGGAAGAGAGCAACATGCACTCAGCGGAGGTTCCCGAGTGTGGACGCACACAGGTCTGAGCCCACGTGAACTTCCCCAAGAGGGAGGAGAGGAGCAGAGCGTCCCGTCACAGACCTGGCACGGCCTTGGGCAAGTCTCCTGCCTTCTTGGCACCAGCGTCCCTATTTGTTTAACTTCTACTTCAAATTATGCTGTGTGGGGGTTACCTCATTCCAGATCTCCCTGGCACTCGATGTTCAGGAGGACACAGTGCTGTCACGCAAGGAAGAGACAGCATCAGCTGGAGGAGGAGAAATGAGAAGGCAGCCTGGCCTTTACACTGAGTGCAGGAACGGCAAGGCAGCCCGAACTCTTACACCTACAAGACCAGCAGCACCTTTTTGCAAGCAGGTCTCTAGGTTAAGGGCTCATCACCGTGAAGCCCACATGCAGAGGGCTGTTGGGGGACTTTCTTCATCGCATTTCAAACCGGGGAGCTTGCCTGCTGACCTCCTGTCAGATAAGCGCTGAGATCGGGAGGTCAGAGGGGCTGCAGAGGGAGGAAGCGTCATGGCTCTGTGCAGTAAGGCGGCAGCCAGACCCAAAAACCCAGTACCCGCAGCCACACCGCCACTGCCCCGGCTCCGGAGCAGTACCTGCATCAGCTCTGGGGGGGC